TGTTGCGAAAAAAAATGATAAGGACCATTTTTGTAGAAAATTAACTGAACTTTTTCTGGTCTTTTGGGGCCATTTTCTCCGCCATCGCACGCGTTTTCCAATCAAACTTTGTCTCATGTTTAATGAGGTACCAAAAGCTACTTCCAACCGGAAGATGAAAATAGTGCGTAATTAACGTTAACTTTGCCTTTTTTTCCTCCTTCATTTATTGGACATATAATGAATAAAGTTGAATAACAAGAAATAAAAATCATATTTGAATGGAAAAAATCATCGAAAACAAAAAATAAGTCCAAAGATTCAAGGGGAAAATGGAGAATGTCCAAATAAATTGTCAAAAAAGTGGATTGTTTACTCGCAAAAATCTACTCTAGTACGTTTCTCCATTCTTGCCTGACCTACCTAATGAGCAGTAAGTTGACCTATGTATGAAGTTTGTACATTTACAAATTCCTCTTGCTTCGTATATAATGGCTCTCTTCTGTTGTGTTTCATTTTCGATGTTACGATTGGCCGATCGGCTAAGTAGTTTTGGCGTGAAAGCCCGTCAAACAAACTTATACATTCATATTTATACTATTATAGAGGGATGTGTTGTATCCCAGGTAGTACAAAGCACATGGCGAATACATGACGTCTAAAAGACGGCATCACATCCGGCCAAAAGACGTCTTTTATGAAATCCAAAGTGACGTCACAATGACGTAAGTCACAGCTTAAAGACGTCACTTTTTAGGTCTTCTGGACGTCAATGCGTTGTTCGATTATGACTTGAAACAGACGTTATTGACTAGCTTTGGACGTCGTAGCGACGTCTTTTCTCAGAAAAATAAACCAAAACTTCTCGTTATGAGTTATGTTCTAATCATCACTCGAATGAGAAACAATGTAATAAGAGGAAGCCTACTTTTTAAATGATATATTCATACGTTTCAGAAATAGCACTTGAATTCAGACAATTTGAAACAAATCAGTACTTCTATTTCCACGAATATATTTGAAATTAAAAAACCTCTCTTCATATCACCAAACCACGCGATGTGGTAGGTAACATGAAGATATCCATAGGCTCACCGTCACACAAGGGACGTTTATAGTTTTGGCTGTCCTGGAGGCCAAAACTCTTCTGTCATAAGTCAACCACTATTGCTGGACAACAGCTACTATTGTTTACACTATCATCAATTTGGATAGCAGAGAACGTCACCAGAAAGATACAAAATCAGTGTATCAAAACATCAGAACATAATATTGAATGAACAGCACAAAGGAACAACAAAACAACAGAGGGCGCGATTGCTGACGCGTCCGATGCATGCCGATGACTCGCCGTGTTGCCAGATTTCAAATACACAAACACAAACTAGAAAATATTGATCATAAATAAGTTTTTTGTTTCCAAATGACTTCTGTTTTTCACTTCATTGGATGAAACTGAATAAAAATATAGTATCCTATCATCCTTCCTTGCTTTCGTGTCACAACGGTATTGAAATTGAGGGTTGTCCATCACAAAAAATAACATTGAGACGAACAAATATGGTCAATACCTATAGAAACAAAATGAGCATACATTGACAGTTGGCGTCACAGCTGATGACATGTATCGTAACCCCTTTTCCCCAAATAAGCTTCTGTATTCATTCTGTCAGCATCTATGGTGTAATTAGCATTCAAAAGTTGTAGAAACGGCAACATTGTAAGGAGGTAAAAGTGACAAAACTATATGATATTAACAAGTGTTTGTAGTCCATATAATGACGTCCGTAAGACGTCCAAAAGTTGCTGTCTATGTGACGTTGGAAAGACGACGTCCTTTTGACGCCATGATTTGGACAAGTGACAAACGAGACCATAAATTACCAAAATAAGCGGTTCTATAGACGTCATTTTCGTCAGTGTGGCTCCCTGGGATAGATAAATAGATAGATAATTTATTAATCTCTTAGATGTACAGAGGTGATACAAATGAGACAAGTCGAGCTTCAAAAAAGAGAGGTACAGATAAAAAACCTCAAGTGTTAGAAAAGTATTGGAAAAGATGCACAAATACGAACATATTGAAAAAAAAAATTGAAAAATATACATATACGTATGTAAATTCCCTACTCAATAGACAAAATATACAAGATAGATAGTATCATTACCCGAATAGCACACAACGTCCAAAGGACGTCCCTATTTGGTACAATTCACGTCAGAATGCCCCGAACCAAGAATAAGTGTCCTTGGGACATCCCATCCCGTACATCTCATGCAATGTCCGAGCAAGGACGTCCACGGAATGTACCATCTGGTACATCATTTCAAATGTCCTAGAAATGGCATCCCTTAGACGGAAATAAATCATTTATAAGAATAAGACGCAGGGTATAACATGAAGTTGTAGTCATGTTGTAGCCGTCTTGTGCCAGAGCTCTAAGGTAGGATACAGAGATCGCGACACTGTATGTGCTGCCATCTATAGTCACACGTACAGACCCCTACGTCTATACGCTACAGAGTGGTACTACAAGTAAACCACTCTGCTGGCAGATGGCACTACCTGACATACTTGAGTGGAATTTTTTCACCACCTATTCAACTTCTAAATCTCATAACGAAGAGATCTAATGAACTGAGTTTTACCCCATTTTTCAGCAGAAGCAAGACAGTACTGTTTCGACCCACCAGGTCTCATCAGCTGCTCTCGGTCTGCTGATAGATGGTGGAAAAATTTCACTCAAGTATGTCAGGTAGTGCCACCTTCCAGCAGAGTCGTTTACTTGTAGTACCACTCCGTAGCGTATAGACGTAGGGGTCTGTACGTTTGACTATAGATGGCAGCGCCATACAGTGTGTGTCGCGATCTCTGTATCCTACCTCAGAGCTTTGCCACAAGATGGCTACAACATGACTACAACTTCATGTTATACCCTGCGACACTGTATCTTGAAAACTATCCATTTCCGGACCCGCGTATACAGTCTGTCCAAGATAAGGTTGAACAGCATGGGGATCTCAGAAACGGTAGGAGATACGAAGTCGCTTAAATGGGGAAAAAGTTGCGCATTCGGAGGCTCATATCAAGAGCTTTCGAAAATTTTGAAAATTATTTTTAGTTTTTGAGTTATATCGAAAAAAGTGAATTTTTGGAATTTCTCTTTTATTTTTTTTCTCCGTTATTATCAGAGATACAGAAAAACTGAGAATACTTTTTCATTGCAACTTTTGATGAGGTTTAACGTGGTGATACCGATTTTGTTATGCGACGTTTCGTATTCGTGGAACCATCATCAACTTTTGTTTTTTAAATACGGTCCTGATAATTTTTTCACAGATTCTGAAAGGTGTTTTCATTCTAAATTCAACAATGTACTATACAAGGTGATTCGAATGTGTTTCGACCTATTTCTATCCATCATCAATGTTTTTTCGAACTTCCAAAAGAAAAAAAGCCATCAGTTCCACTTATTTCTTATCATTTAGTGTCAAACTTGATGGATTAGTTATTCAATACTGGAAAGTGAATAAAAAATATTTCACTACATCATTCGATCAATGCAGCGTTTAAAATTGATGATGAATTCTTACACGAATTACTTTAACAACTTAACTTTGACAATACCTACAGAGACATTCATGATAAATGTTCAAAATGATAACCATTATTTTCCGAACAAAGATATCCACTTCTCACAGCTGTTTCTAAGACATTGCTAAGCATTTCTGGGGTTATTCTATTGAATGCTTCGAAGACACTGTCCCTTAGTTCTTCTTCATCCTCAAAGTTATTTGCGTGTACAAAGTTCGATATATCCCCTAAGAAAAAATCCAGCTGTGTCAAATCAGGCGACCGCGCCGGCCAAGGGATAAAAACGCACGGACTTCTCTGGAATTATGTACCGGAGCGCCATCTTGTTGAAACCAACAGAGTTCTGAACTTCCGCAATCGGTAAATCATCCAGAGCTTCCTCAAGATGATTCTCAAGCGAATTTCTATAACGTTCGAAAGTCTGTGTTTCATGGTAAATAGAAGGAACAATAATTCGTGTACCAAATATTACAACCCACATATTAAAGCCGAAACGGTGTAAGTGTCTCGCTGTAATGTATAAATGTTCATTTTCTCGTGAACAATAATGTGTATTTTTTCTATCGAAGCTACCATGATTAGTGACCATGCTTTCATCAGTCCAGATGATTGTTCGAAAGAAATCTGCAAAATTTTAACATTTCCTGGTATACCACTCACAGAATGTCTTGCGCCTTTCGTCATCGCCTGGTTTTAGCGCTTGACATATTCTGAATTTGTATGGATGGAATTTTTGTTTCCGCAAAATGAAATGGGTTGTTGATTGAAACCAGTTGATGAGATATTAGTGTGTTGACTAATTTTCCTTCAAAATAAGTGGAACTGATGGCAATTTTCCTTTGGAGTTTCGAAAAAACATTGATGATGGCCAAAAATAGGTCGAAACACGAATGAACCACCTTTTATAATACATGGTTGAATTCAGAATAAAAAAACCTTTTAGAATCTGTGAAAAAATTATCAGGACCGTATTTAAAAAACAAAAGTTGATGATGGTTCCACGAATACGAAACGTCGCATGAAAAAATCGGTATCACCACGTTGACCGTCATCAAAAGTTGCTATAAAAAAGTATCCTCAGTTTTGCTGTATCTCTAATAATAACGGAGGAAAAAATAAAATAGAAATTCCAAAAATTCACTTTTTTCGATATAACTCAAAAACTAAAAATAATTTTCAAAATTTCCGAAGGCTCTTGATATGAGCCTCCGAATGCGCAACTTTTTCCCCATTTAACCGATTTCGTATCTCTTACCGTTTTTGAGATCCCCATGCTGTTCAACCTTATCTTGGACAGACTGTATATGAAATAAATTTCATGTTTTCTCATGCAGAATCAACCCCTTGATTTTTTGCGCATAATTTCCGGACACCCTGTATAATTAAAATGTGAAACATTTGGTAGCAACAAGCAAAGTTTACAGACCGTTGCATTCTCCTCTGTTGCCGTCCGTCGGCTCCTGTTTCACCACCGCCAATTGTGGGCGTTGGGCGTCAGCCGAAGCGAAGGGCGCTCCCCTAGCCCCCTGCATCTTGCCGTACAGGGCGTTGGAGTAAAGGCAGCCGGCGTGCTGCTGATAGGCGGAGTAGAGACCGTCCAAGTTGGCGGCGGGCGATGAATGGGCTCCCTGGTGGTGGTAGATGGAAGGAGCTGTTGTTTTGGCGAGGTGGTGGTGAAAGGTGTCATGGTGTGTGCTGGTTTCCGATTTCGGACCTGGAACGAGCGGGTGATGTATCAAATCACTCTGTATCCAAATAGACGCCACTGCGATGCCTGACGAATGAAGATATCAATATATAACGCGGAACTTGACGAGAATGCAATATCGCTAAATATTTTTTCTACAAGCGTGCGTGATTCACCCTATACCCGCACGCAATTTAGTTTGGAAAGTGTCATTTTCCTGCAGTAGTGCGGGAAATTTTTTCCCACACTAGTGCGGTAGAACACTTATATAATATTTTCACAAAATATGAGTGGTGGGTGTTACAATATGAAACTTTTAGGTTTTTTGTTGCATTATTCAGTAAGTTTGTACAACATCATCCATCAAATTGCACTATTTATTGTGAAAATGAAGAAATGTCGAGAAATAATAATTGATTATTATAATATAAATCTTCCTATAGCCTTCAATTGATCTGATGTGGGAGACAATAATTGTTGTCGTGTCAATCAAACCACAAATTAAACTGGGCGTCAATTGAAACGTTAATAGTGAAATTTGGCATCAAGTTTGTCTTCTCGTAATTTCTGAAATATTGAACGAATTTTGAATTGCCGCCCAGATTCTGAATGCCTTTTTCATCGTCTTTCGAACCATTCCTTACAGCTTTTTCTAAATTGATCAGGACCCATGATACAGGGTGAAACAAAGTTTCATGCATTTTGAAAAAAATTTCTCCGCCCCCCCATCTTGTCGGAAGACCACGATGCTCATATTTTATTCAGGCATTCCATAAATAGCAACCATACCTCGGGGCGATTTCGAGTTTTTGCCAAAATCTACTGTGGTTTCCGAAAGAAAAAAAAATGTTTTTTGCATTTTTTTTTAAATGGACTGATCCTGTATCCTCAAAACGATGAATCAGTCTATTTATTGTCATGACTGACTTATTGAAAATGGTACTTAAATGAGTTTGGGTATATCCTAATCGTCGTAACCTGAAATAATAATTATCTGTACTGAATTATAGTTTATATCACTATAGTGATCTTACCTAATGATATTTTCCATTTCGACCCGATTTGAACGAGGCATCTTTAAATTTTTTAGGACCCGAATTACACTGACGTTTTCATGAAAATTGGCAATTGGTATAACCTCTATGCATACCTACATTGTTTCAAAAATACGTTGTTATAGAAACAAGGTATCCTTGTTTGTTTTTGTTGATGAGATGTGTTGATTTACTGCTCACTGAGGTAGGAAACTTTTATCATAGACTGCGAAGTAATGAATTATTGATTGTTTTTGAGTAACCTGGTATACATATCTGCTCCAACGCTTTCCTGAAATGCGTTAAAGCATCCATTTATGGAACACCTCTAAAATTAGTCCATTTAAAGAAAATACAATTTTTTTTTTCTGGAAACCACAGTAGTTTTTGGAAGATACTCGAAAACGTCCCAAGGTATGGTTACTATTTATGAAATGCCTGAATAAAATATGAGCATCGTGGTTTCCCGACAAAATAGGGGGGGGGGGGCGGAGACATTTTTTTCCAAATGCACGAAACTTTGTTTCACCCTGTATCACGGGTCCTGATCAGTTTAGAAGAAGCTGTAAGGAACGGTTCGAAAGACGATGAAAAAGGCATTCAGAATCAGGGCGGCAATTCAAAATTCGTTCAGTATTTTAGAAATTACGAGAAATCAAACTTGATGCCAAATTTCACTATTAACGAGCGTTACTGTCATTTTCGATTCAGTGGAATTGCGATGAAAAACTTCCAGCTACAGATGCGATACAGATGAGTTATTGCCAACGAAGTCTTAAGAAAGGTATGAGAAGCACGACACGGGATTTATTAAATGGTGCAATAGTAAAGAAGTGAAAAAACCAAATGAAGAAGAAGTATTTTCGGCTCATTTCCTAGAAATGTCTGGAACCCAGAAGCCAAACACCATGGGCATGCTTGCTTCCGCAATAAGCTCACCAACATAATGCTTCAAACGGTACACATACACAATGAATATATCACTTATTATTGGAAGATAGAGAATATATCACTATTGTAAGTTATTCCTATTTGCAGAAATACTTGATTGAACAAATCAATCAATTTCCTACGCTTGTAGAAAAAATATTGTTCCTTACTCATGCGAAAAGTGTCTTTCTCTACTACTGCTATGAGAAGTAGCGCATTTCTCATAGCTAACTTAGTTTCAAAACCATGTATTGCTCATACTGTGAGAAATATTTTTTCTCATGGCACTTTGCCAACACAACTGTCAGAAGAAGTTTTTTGAATTCTTTAGGGTAGATAGTCATACGTTCCTGAAGACTTGAACGCAGCTCAGCGTTTAGGAAGGAAACACGCGATTTTATTCGTCTTTACGAATGATTGCATAGAATTCGGGAGGATGTAATCGAGGATGTAATTCAATGTTTTGCGTGGAATATAGCCAGTAAAGTATATGTTTTTTCCCTTTATCTACAAATGTCACTCATTTATGAACATTTGTGGAAATTAATTTAAACTTCGCGTATTTATTTAACATTTAACAACTTTGAGCATTTTGGCTTTTTCTTAGATGAAATCTTGCTAGTCAGGTAACCAGCTACTCGCATTTCATGCAAATTTGTTAAGGAGAGTTTCTTTTTTTCTGCTCAGGTGGCGTTAGTGTCCTTCTCACGGATGCCATACGCCTCTTGTGCAATAAATGCTGGAATGTGTTTACGTTGGATCAGGTTCGCACCATCAGATAGCGGACATGAATGCTATCTGGGACAGCCCAGCACTGATGAGAGCCAAAAGCTCGAAACCAGTGTGCAGGTAGTCAAGCGTTCCTGAACCACTTGAGCGCAGCAGGAAGGATGTGATTCAATGTTCTGCGTGGCATATAGCCAGGAAAGTAGTGGTTTTTCTGTCGTTATCTTGTTTTTATTCAACATTTCATTTCATTTCATTTTGAGTATTTTGAATTTTTCTTAGTCTATACAAGGTTATATTGCATGCACTTATTATTCTCCTGTCGGTCGAAGTCGAGTGTATGTTGTACGTCTTTATGGGACCCACAGAGGGCGGCAATCGGAGTACATGCTGTGTATCGGGATCACCTGTCAGAGCGGTTCTTTCATTGCTGATGCTGCCTGACATCCGTTTAGTTTTGCGGATTCTTAGAGCGGAGCCCAGAGGGGGGCTCCCTCACGTGACGTCACGATCTGTGTTTGTGTTGCTTCTGCCTTGATAGCTGCTCTTCGCTGCCTCTGCTCGCTTTTCAGGACAATCTGGATAATTAGGTGGCATCCCCTCTGCCTCTGACGAGCGATGAGGATGACAAGTTTAGTATTCGTTAGTGGTTAGCAAGCTTGTTGGGGAGGGAAGTTGTTTTACGTTGGTCCTTTTAATTTTCCTCATTCTCTCTCAAACACAAAAATTATTCAGCTGAGGTGAATGAGCAAGGTTGGGCTTGGAAAGCTCAGGAACATGAATGATAGACAATATGTGTTAACTATAAATTTTTTCGGTTTTTTATTTGACTACAACATACAGAGGAGTGCACAAAAAAAGGCCAGGACTGTAACTTTCGAATTATTCGAGATATTGTTTTGAAAATTGGTGAGTAGCAAGTATATCAAATTGCTCATGAATTGATGGAACAATTTTTTTTCTATCTCTTCCAGTTTCACCGGAAACGACCCCAACTTTTGATTTTTGAATGGGACACCCTGTATTGTATTCCATAATCGGTTAGGGATTATCATGACGAATTCAAGGATACCAGGTTTGATAGGGTTATTTCAAACGATTCGAACTCAATGGGTGAGACTTCGCATTATCAAAACTTCTTTCTCTGTCATACTCATTGATCATATGGAAACTAATATCACGAATATCTACATAATCGTTTGAAATAACCCTGTCAAACCCCGTATATTCGTTGCTGTTGAGGCATTACGTTTGCCCAGTTTGCCTTAACAGCAACGAAGCATCTGGATTTGAGGTGATGAAATCTGGAGTACCCGAAGGCTCTGTTATGGGGCCTACCCTTTTCATCATTAACATCAATGATTTTTTCTATCATCTGTTACCAAACAAATGTATAGTTTATGCAGATGATAGTACGCTAATATGCTCTGACAAAAACTGTCAAAACCTAATCACATCCATGAAATATGTAGAAAACCAGGCAGAAAAACGGTTCACTGGAAATCTCTTGAAACTTAACAGAGACAAAACTCAGAATTTGATCTTCTCATCCAACAGTAAAATTAAAAAAGGTGATAAAGTAAATCTAATAGGAATCACAATAGATGATAACCTGAACTGGCGCAATCATATTGATGAGTTATGTTCCAAACTTTCAAAGCATATATTTCTGCTTCGACAGTTGAGATCTATAGTAAGTTTTAAGATTCTCTTGACAGCATATTACGCATTTTTCAATTCGCATCTTAGGTATGGTATAGGTATTGTTTTGTGGGGAAATTCCTCATCTTCTGATAGAGTTTTCAAGCTTCAAAAAAAAGCAGTCAGAATAATTGCTAATGCAGATTATTTAGACACATATGTCGTCCTATATTCAAAAATTTAGGAATAATGCTCCTTCCCACCTTATATATTTACCATTGCCTTCTTGAAATCCATGAAAATAAAAATGAATTCGATAGAAATGCTCATTTCCATGATTACAGCACTCGCAATGCTGAGCTCATCAGATCCTCAAGATATAGACTACATAAATCTGCATCTAACTCTCCGAACACGGAATTGTATAATATCTTACCACAAACAGTGAAAAATCTTACAGGTCAAAAATTCAAACGATACATTAAAAAAGAACTTTTGACCAAATGTTACTATAATGATATTGAGTATATAACTAGCCCACCTGCTGCAACTGATCTTAATGTAAAATGAACCGTATTCTTTATGTCTTGGCCCTATTCTACATCTATATGTTAAAGTATTTTATATCTATATATTAGTGTTTTGATGTCTTTTTTTATAAAAATTTATTTACAATTTTGTTTTCATTAGATTCAT